GTTAGGTATTTTACTTAAGGCTGTGTATGATCATAAAAAGAAGGTACATAGTTTCTCGTCACAAAACTAGAAGAAAAGCTAGAAAACAACGTATTTGTATAAAACATTTTTCATCTCCAAAACAAATTTCTTATAAAGTAGTATTTTTTATGTTTAAAGGAATTTTTTCCTTTTTTTATTTAATAAATACAAATTTCCAAAGTACAGTTTATGGATTACAATGGCTCCCCACCCCCATAATTTCCCTCCCACTCGCACCCCTCCCATCTCCCGCTCCCTCTCCCATTCCAGTCACATCAAGATTCATTTTCAATTATCTTTATATACAGAAGATCGATTCAGTATATATTAAGTAAAGATTTCATCAGTTTGCACCCACACAGAAACACAAAGTGTAAAAATACTGTTTCAGTACTAGTTATAGCATTACTTCACATTGGACAACAAATTAAGCACAGATCCCACATGAGAAGTAAGTACACAGTGACTCCTGTTGTTGACTTAACAATTTGATACTCTTGTTTATGGCGTCAGTAATCTCCCCAGGCTCTAGTCATGAGTTGCCAAGGCTATGGAAGCCTTTTGGGTTCACCGACTTCGATCTTATTCAGACAGGGTCATAGTCAAAGTGGAAGTTCTCTCCTCCCTTCAGAGAAAGGTACCTCTTTCTTTGATGACCCCGTTCATAAATTAGTATTTTTAATGTGTGAAGTACTCTTAATAGTAGATGCCTGAATTTTAAAATGACTCCCTAAATGCTACAAATCGGGATGAAGGATAATTTACTGGTGTACATGCATTAAATAAATCTTATTCTACTTGGTACCATTTTTAGACATTTTTTCCTTCCAAAGCCTCATAATTGTGCTTAGTATCTTTATTTTTTTCTATTCCCAATTTTCAACCTTACTACCTATCTCTTTTTGCAAAATAAATAAATAAAAAAGTCAGAAACCTATAACACCACCTTAAAGAAAGATCCCATTATTGAAGACCCCAGCTCTGTGTGTTTCACAAATTACTAAGTTGTTGCTGTCAACAACAGGGCAGGACTAGGACTATGTCTTACTTACTAAAGCATCTCAGTAGCTTGTGCAAGGCCTGGTAAAGAGTCAGTGCAATGCACTGAATGAAGGAATGAAGTCCTATGAGGAGACTAAACCAATATACAAGGCAAATTTTAATGTTTCAATATTATTGCTGTGGAAACTGAGACACAGTGATTATCCAATATAGGCTTGGAGGAGAGAAGTGATTGACCTGTTTTTAAATCTCCAGGAAGTTGTGTGAAGCTCATGCTAGAATTCTGGTTTGTCCATTAAAGTTTCACGTCATAGGTTTTCATTCAAATGAAGTAGAATACATCAATTTTTTCCTATAAGCATTTATCTGCCATTTAAGATTTCCCCTTACTAAACAATGTGAACCGAGGTCCCTGACTTACTAAGCATTTTTTGGTACTAAACTTTGTCACCAACAAGCAGAGAGCAACATTGGTATATGATTGTAGAGAATTCTGCTAAGGAGATTTCTTGATTAATTCTACTGCTCACTAATGGGAAAAGAGAAGCTTTAAAACTGTGGGTATCGATAATCTGAAATAGTTTGGCAATTTGATTGATGGATCATTTTTACATGGCATAAAAAGATTTTTAGACATTAAAGTTGGATAAGTGAATTTAAATATAGCATTAATAATCCTCAGGGCAAAATGGCTATTACTACCCCTTTCACTTGTTATCCTACTTTGTACTTGTATATAATGCATATTTAATAAATATCTCACATCTTAATTACATTTAACTAATAAGATAAATGAAAAAGTACTCTTTAAAATGTAACATAGGCAAAGATAAATTTTATAATATTCACAACAGGTTGCATTAATTATGCAAATGTGTATGTCAGGTACCACGGATAGAGTAAAGCACTATCCTTATCCTTGAAGTTCCTGGCGGCCTCATTGAAGTGGAAACCCTTCAAACACTGACCCTTCCCAAGGATTTCCTTGTGCAAGAGCAGACTCCAGAATCTGTCATTTCTTTCAAGGGCAATTCTTGTAAATAACTTTTTTAAAAGAAATAATGTTTGTATAATTATTTCTTATCATGTGTTAATTTATCTCCCTTCTTCTTTAGAAGAGTCATATTAGATCATTATGAAAACATATTATAATTGTATTTTTAATTGATGAAATAAAACAAGCTGAATTACTTGAGAATGTTGGTATGCTAGCTGTGTGTACACTTTCTAATACAAGTGAATATGTAGAAATCTGGTGGCCCTCAAGTTATGTAGATTTAGATCTAAATCCTCCCTGGCAATGTTACTGAGTCTTTCTCTGTTTTAGCATCTTCATGAGTAAAATGGGGCACAGGCTTAGTCTGCAATTTTATGATGAGGATTAAAAATAATAAAGGTAATATTTTTGGCACAGATTCACTGAATAAATAATGATTATCATTACCCTATTTTTTCAAAATATGGCAATTTAAAACATATGTATATTTATTTTTATAAAAATGATTTGATCCCTAGAAATCTAGAATTATAGCTTAGTAATAAAAATATAATAAAAATGATATTGAGAGGAGGGAGGAAATTTCATTAAAAAGCATTATAAGTAGCATTCACTTTAACATTTGATTCATGATCATTATTTTCAATGTTAATATATATTGAAATCATTAGCATAAATTATAGAGAATATCATCCTGAGCAGAACACAATGAGCAAATAACTTAGACGCACTCTAAGAATAATTATTCCTCAAACTCTAATTATATTGACTAAACTGAATTTTAGTATATTTTTATGATATTTTATAACTGCAGTTTTCACATGTTTAAAGCCTTATGTGTCAAAAAAAATTCCGGAAAGGAAGAGATCAAACATTAGAGATTTAAAATCCTCAGCTAATAGATAAAAAAAGTGAGGCTCATGGAAAATGAACTTGCACAAGGGAGAGGAGATAATGGGTATACAGTAATGGATGAAGGAAGGGTAGGAGCAGAAAGAGGTGGTAGCTCTAGAGGTGTTGCCACTATGGGGAGGAGGTTCTAGGTTGAGGGCTTTCTCTGATGGGTTATCAATAGTGGGCAGGGGAAAGCTGAGTGACAGCCAGTTCAAGCCAAATAAGACACCAGGAAATTATTGTCAAGTGATGCTAATCACTGCTCCAGAAAGACACTCTGAGACTTACTTGGAGAAAGGAGAGCAAGGGTCAGATAAAAACAGTGATTAGAGATTTCTTCAGGCATAGGGGATGTTGGTTGGTTTACAGAGGTGCCTGGGCTCAGGGGTTCCCTTGTAGCTCACCTAGTATTCCTTCACAGAATCCAATTTTAATGAGGAGAGAATAAAGCCCTGGGGAGGCTGAGTTATGTGCCCAGGGTCACACTGCTGTTGGAGTCAGGAGTAGGAGGAGAATTCTGGTTTTCTGACGCCTCTGTGCCCCTTTGACTGTACCACTGAATTTAACCAAAGTTGCTTAGTGGGTAGGGATCACACAGTTGAGACACCTTGGCAAATAAGTTAATAATATCCTGTCTAGTGATTAGCCCTATGAGTCTGTATTACTGGGTCCTTATTCTATAATAAAGAGAGGACTGATATGGGAACTGCCTTCATTTCATTCTCACAGTCAGGATCCCTTACACTACTATTTCTCCCATAACTTTCAGTAACAGAATACTGTGGAGCACTTACTCTTAAGACTTGCCTGAAGGTGCATAGGTAGATAGTGGCAGAGCTAGGACAATATTCTAGAACTTCTTCCTTAGAGTCCTTTTCCTTTGAGGCAAGCTCTATTAATATTTCATTAATAAAATGTTTGAATAACCAGGTATTTGAACAAGAATGTAAGACTATAATCTCGAGGCCCCAGACCTAGTAGCTGAAGATATCTGCTTCTCCACTTCTCCCATTTCATTATATAAAGAATTAGGTTAGAGCCCTGGAAAATAAAGGTAAGGGAGGAGGAGTAAACGTCACCCTTAAGTACTTTCAGTAACTTTTTGAATGAAGACATGGTGCAGTTCATTGACAGGAGACTTGAACTCATGTCCAAAGCAAAGCTCTGGAAACATGCTGAATAGTAGTATCAAAGCAAAGAGAAGATAGAAAATGTGCCTGGTATTTTTCATAGGCAATCAAATATAACTCTACCAATTGTATAGCTTACACGAGCATTACAGTAATCATAATCCATTACTTATTTTTAATTTTTAGAAGGATAACAGACATGAATAATAAGCACATTTTAAACCTATAAAGTCTACTATTGTAATTCACAGAAGCAATATTTGCAATGATATAATTGAATTTGTTAAGTGCACACATATTTCCACAGATCAGAATCTGAAGCAGAATTTTAAATCTGGTCTCAAATGGAACTCAGATGCATGTTTCACATTAACACTCAACTGCATCACTACATGGCAAGAGCATTGCAAGCACTGAAGAACATTAATGTCATATTTTCATACTTGATTTAATGGAAGAAAAATAGAGGATGCTTTATGTTTTAGGAATACGGGATATAGAATCTGATTGATTTGGCATTGTTTCTTAATCTCCAATTTTGATAAAAATAAAGATACGAGAAAAACTTTTTATACTTAGATGATTAAATCAGATCATTTTGCATGCTGAATCATTTCTTAATATTATACATCGTTATGAAGTCAAAATAGTACTATTAACTTTACATATAAGATAGTTATCTTGATTCCCCTTCATCTTTGTTTTGAAATGAAAAATCAAAAAACAATGCAAATAAATATGAAATTTCTGGGCAAACAATTAGTTACAGCTTAAGTTTGCATCACAAAAGCTGCATAGATTTTCTACTCATTTTAGATAGGAAAATATTACCAAAACATTTCTAATGTTAAAAAAATCAAGCTATAATCAAAACACTAAAAAGTATGTGAAAGTAAAGATAATAGTTAAAACAAAAATAAACACTGAATCTTCACCAGCTTTTACAACTAACTTACCTTCTGAAAAATCAGGAGATTCCAACTTTATAGAGTTCTGTCTGTGCAGCTTCTCCCAAACTCAGCCCTGATGGTGAGATTTCTCTTTGAGTTTTTATAGTCTCAGTTATACACCCCTTACTCCAATCCCTGCCTTTGCTTTCTCTTACATCATTTCTACAGATTTTCCACTGAACATTTTCCCAAGCCTCTTTCCTCTCTCTCTCTCCCTCCCTCCCTTTCACCCTTCCTCCCCCTGTTCTTACTTTCCATATTTATTCTATCTATTGCTTTGATCATTGCATTTAAGTAGCAAAGGAGCTTGGACTCTGGAAAATTTGGGTGTACAGTTAGAGATGTGTTGAGCTGCAAACCCATCAATTCTTCCTGAGGTTTTAGTTCAGCTCTGACGATTACAAGTCATGTTTTGGAAACAAAATGCACTAAGATTTGTTAAAAAATGAGTAAGGCATTTCAAAGTAAGATTTAAGGAAATCATAATCACTCAAACTGATTATTTATTGGCATTTTTTTTGACTTTTAAATTAAATGGCATCTATGCAAATGAAGAGTAGTTTCAGCCTCAGTCAGGTGCACAGTGCTCTCAGTGAGATGGCAGCTACTTCATAATTAACATTGCTATACTAGGAAGACTGTCACTAACAAACCTATAAATACTGAACTGTGACATGTGAACTATAATTGCAGATGTTGCAATCATTCTTATCATGCTCATGTTTTCAAGCATTTTAATTTCCTTTCAAACCAGGATATTCCTGCTTCTGTCCATAGGTTTCCTTCATTTTCATTTCCTACTAATCATATTGGCATTCTTGGATGCACAAATAATTACAAATAAACTATTAAATTCTAAAGGCAGTTTGTTATGTTATCAGATAATTATCAGCTCATTTGGTTCACCCATGAGACCCACTGTCTGACAGAGAAAGAGACTGAGACTCAGGTAAATTGAGTGACTTTATGAGATCCTATAGCTAAGCAATTACAGCAGAATTGAATTTAAAATACAGATCTTCCTAATTCCATATCCAATTCTTTTTCCACAACTGCATTCTGTCTCGCTGTCTAGTTTTAAAAGGTAGAAAACAGAATCCAAACCAGATTATGATTTTGTGCAAATAGAAATAAAATCGTTCTTTTTGGTTTTGCTTAAAAAGCCATTTAAAATACTACTCACAAGGATAGAAACGATTATATGGTTAATTTGGATCTAGATGGGGAAACTGACCAGAGCACACTGAATTGGTGGGACAGTAAAATGCTTCCTTTTTATGAAGGGTTTCCAGGGATAACATGGGTTTCAACAAGCTTGAAATCTGAGCAGTTGGCAGCAACAGTTCACAAGTCAAGATAAAAATACAGCCTAATTGTGGACCCTTGTTTAGACGCTGCTGCCATAAAACAATTATGTTAGTTTGAATCCACATGATGGAAAACTCTCAATATAGATTTAACGGATGCATCATAATGCCACCAGAAGCCAATATTCTTGACGCACCTTCTACACTTATTTGAAATGCCTTCCTTAGCATGCTGACAAGTGATATCTGTGGCTGATTTATTCCAGATCTGTCCCTGCTTAGACAGTCCAAAGATTCCACCCTATTTGTGGATTTTGTTGACCTAATTCAAAAGTTTGACTTAACTGTCCTACAGCAGTAGAAATAGCAACAGTTTATTCCAGGAACATAACCATGGTACATTTAAGCCATTTACACAGGCTTCTGTGCATTAAACACCCTTATGTGATTTACTTATGCATTTGTGCATGCTGGAAAAATTCCATTATTTTAAAAGAGAGAGGCAAAATGGAAGCGTGCAAAAAATACAAAGATGATGAGAATTCACTTCAAATCATGCATAGGGAGAGACTATGGTGAGAAATAAAGAAAACGTTACTGAAAACTTTTCCAGCTAGCATATCATTATGTAATTCCCATAACAACTTTGCTAAGGGTGTATTACTATGATGAGAAAACTGAAGTTCACATTTGTTAAGTGGATGTCAGGGGACAAAGGTTACAGACCTTGCTATTTATATCTGTCAGGATTTTAGCAGGAAAGTGGTGGCCTAAATTGAATCATTTGAGGAGAATGCAATGTGGCCTAGGTATAAATGAGCTAGAGGGATCGTGCAGTACAGTGACCCAGTCCTCTCCAGTCTCCTGGTCTTATCCAGCAAAGGGTAGTTACAGGGACCGAGAGACAAAGGGATGTGGGTAGAGGAAATTGCGTGGCAATAGTGTGACTTCTTTTCAAGGACACAGCGAGTCCGGAGCAATCTATGGAGGGGGGGTGAGTGTAAGGAGTGAACACCAGAATTTCACTGTATTTCTTTAGTTCATTGTTGTTGTCTTTCCCTTTGGCAAAATCTAACTGGAAACAAGTTTGAGGAAGGGGCAATGAAAGAAATCCAGTAACGTTATTTATTTTCAAAACTGTACTTTGTAAAGGGCAACACATCTAAAATGCCATTATTATTCACATTATTATCTAATACTTTTTTTAAAGTGCAGATTTGTTATTTTACAACATCAAGTTTTTTGAGGTGTAATTCAGGTTTGTTTCCCTTTTTTTTTATTTGAGAGGTAGAGTTATAGACAGTGAGAGAGAGACAGGTCTTCCTTCCGTTGGTTCACTCCCCAAATGGCCACTACGGCCGGCGCTGCACTGATCTGAAGCCAGGAGCCAGGTGCTTCCTCCCGGTCTCCAAGAGGGTATAGGGATCCAAGCACTTGGGTCATGCTCCACTGCCTTCCCTGGCCACAGCAGAGAGCTGGACTGGAAGATGAGCAACCTGGACTAGAACACGGCACCCATATGGGATGTCAGCACCACAGGTGGAGGATTAACCAAGTGAGCTACGGCGCCGGCCCTTGTTGAGTTTTTTTAATAAACAATATTGTCCTGTTTAGAATGCTCATTTTGAAGAGTTTTGACAAATGTATATTGTATGTAACTTCTACTACAATGCTGACATGGATCATTCTATTACCATCCAAATTTACCCCATGTACCTTTGCAGTCAATCCTCACCATTATTCCAGGTCCTGATAACCACTGATCTGATTCCTATGCTTATCATTTTGCCTTTTCCAGAGGCCCTAGGAATGAAATAAACATGTAGCATACAGTCTTTGGTGTCTGACTTCTTCACTTAGAATTATGTTCAATATTTATCCCCATAATATGCCCATGACTGTAGATACATGGCTCAGGCTTCCCCTGATATTAGAAGGAGGCTTCAAAAATTAGGCATGGGACCAAGCAACCCCTTGGCTGATATCCTGAAAGCTGTCACCATAATCTGCTTTAACTGAGACCAGGAGGAAGAGGAGAAAGCAAGGCAGAAGGAGCATTGTAATGATACATGGCAGGCCCAGCTAATAGCTGCTTTACACAATGGTCTGCTGTCAAAAGGACCCACCAAGCCCAGTATACCCTGAAATAGCACCTATCATCCGTGTGGGAAGCCAAGGCATTGGGAAAACAGCTGTCTTAACAGAAGTTGGCTGCTGAGAAAGCCTATCCACTCTGCCAAACGCTGGCTCACTGGAAACAACTGCTCTGGGGGTTGAAGGACTCCCAGGTCAGAACTATAGACACTGTGACACTGTTGACCCTAAGCTGAGGACACTCTTAACTCTGCCCAGCTCCCAAGTCCACTATTGCTGCTGTAGAGATGGAGCCTAGGGTCACTGTTGGCATATCAGAGAGGACCATGGGTTTTCTACTAGATACGGGAGCCATCTACTCTGCTAACCTCCTATTTGGCCCAGTTCTCCCAGTCTAGCCAGGTAATGGGAGTCAGTGGGATACCTAGTTGTGTGAAGCCTGCATTATTATCATTAAGTATAAAAACCTCTTGTTTCCATTCCTATTTGTCTTTAAATAGGTTAGCAGACAGGGAATAGGGTAACAGCTAACATGGACAGTGTTGCCATGAGAATGTTTAGATACCCCCACCTATTTGGACAAGCCCTTGTGGAGGATCTAAGGACCAACCTCTTTAGGGTGTGGAGAGATGATCTAAAATGTAGATGATTTGATAGTTTGGCATCTCACCTAAGACTCCAGTTTTGGGTATTCGACTTGTATGCTTAACTTCCTAACAGAATATAGCTAACAGATTTCCAAGGAAAAATCACAACTGGTCTGTTAGGAGGTAAATTAGGAGTTCATTTTCTTCTCTGGGGAATGAAAGTGGTCCTGGAAGATACGAGGGACACAGCAGATTCATGCCCCTACAACCTTAACACACCTCTAGTATTTTGAAGCTAATGGATTATAGATCTTTTGCTATGGGAACAAAATTAAGACCCCTTCAACAGGGCAGGTATGTCTTAGACATGCTAACTGTGGCTCACAGGGGAATTGTGCCATCCTCATGAATGCCGTTTTTGGATCAATAAAACTAGATGAGTATAAAACCATAGTCGTTTCTTTCCAGGCTGAACAGGGATGGAATTTCTTGCCTAGTATTGGATCAAGAAGATTCTGGCCATTTCATTTTCTTGGCCCTAGAAGCTGCATATTCTTTTTTTTTTTTAAGATTTATTTATTTATTTGAAAGTCAGAGTTACACAGAGAGAGAAGGAGAAGCAGAGAGAGAGAGGTCTTGCATCCACTGGATCACTCCCCAATTGGCTGCAGTGGCCGGAGCTGCACCAATCCGAAGCCAGGAGCCAGGAGCTTCTTCCGGGTCTCCTATGTGGGTGCAGGGGCCCAAGGACTTGGACCATCTTCTACTGCTTTCCCAGGCCATAGCAGAGAGCTGGATCGAATGTGGAGCAGCCGGGTCTCAAACCAGCATCCATATGGGATGGCGGCACTGCAGGCAGCTGCTTTTACTCCCTATGCCACAGTGCCAGCCCCAGCTGCATATTCTTATTACCTCTCCTTGGACCATGTGTTCTTAATAGCCTCAGTCATTTTTGATCTAACAGAATAGATGCTATCCAGTTCTAGATTGTCGTGAGGCAGGGCTTCTATCAGATCCCATTGTGTGCTCTGTCCATCCTTTGTGGCCATGCAGAAGAATCTTTCCTCATGGCAACCCCAAACAACAA